TCCGGGGATCAAATCCTGGGTCGTGAGTCGCCCGGGCCAACCAAGCCTTCCATCCCTCCGGGGTCGGTTAATTGGTACCAGACTTGTCTGGGAGGATAAAAACACTGACTTGTACATCGGCTGGCCCCCGCAAGTCATTGTATAGGCCACATCGCATTCAAACGCCACTACGAATGTACAAATGGAAGTAGAATGCGTGCCGCATCCCAAAAAGGGATTGATCAACGGCAAATGCTTTATCCTTTATCCTTATTACTTTTACAATAATTATTACTTACGTAATTACTACTTTCGTAAAACATTTACTAATTCGTCGAGACCCGTCTAAACATGACCCCCTTTACCCACCTTCGTCAACATTCGTTCCCATTATGATAACCTTGCTCAACCCAAAATGCTACCCCCTCGTTCGAATAGTGCAAACGGACGGTTAACCGTGGATAGGTATGGAAACGCGAGGAGAAATAATTTGTTCTTCTATTTGCCATATAATCTCTCTGAAATCGAAATTGTACGTCGGAACAGAGATGGTGTGGCAGCTGGAAGCGCGACCTCATAATATCGAATCTTTGTCAAGGCATCCAAGTTTTTCAGCTCAGTGAGTTGTATAGTGTTCACGGAAAATGGTCTGGTAGACAAAAATACTTACATGAAGATTAGCCCTCTCATGTCACAGATTACAAATTCAAATGGTTCAACTGACGAGTTTGAGAAGAAACTGCTCTAGAGGCGCATCCCCACCAGACTGAGAAAAACTCATGGAAAAGTGTTTTCAAAAAGAACCGAGATTTATGCCACTTCTAAGATGCGGTCCAGCAATTCACTGATCGGAGACGCAGAGGAAATTATTTTAATCGTTTTTGTGCGGATCCTCATTCACTTCTAGCCCATTTTTATTTTTCTTTAACGTGCATGAACAAAGACAGCCCTTTTTGAGGCAGTCCTAGTTGGAAAAACAATAGATTTAAAGGATTCTTACTGATGGCTTGCCGCTAGTGCACCACACGGCTTCTGAAGGGAAGGTAGGGAAATACATGGATATGCATGGCTATACTTGAATATACACGAGGGAAAGGGAAAAGAGAAAAAAATTCTGTGTCAACATTTGGAAAGGAATGTATCAGAGAGGACAAGGAGAAATAGTACATTCCCATCTATCGAAATACAAAACTTCTATGTAGACTCACTCGACTCACTCACGACATCAGAAGAACCTGCCACGGGAACATGGTGCGGTTCGAGCTCAACGAAGTGTTCGACGGATCGTATCCCTTTGAATCTTGTCTGAAACTAGGGGTCTTGTGTACTCAGGGTTAACTTCCATGGTAAACAGTTCGCCACTGAATCGACTGAAAATATATGATAGCTCATCCATGCTGGAGCAAATACGGTAGGCCTGCTTGAGCTCGACGGCGCTGGCAAATGACGTCATATTAAAGATGTTGCAAACAGTAACAGGGCCTGCTTCTGCTCATGAAGGGAACACCTAAGGATCATTTTGCTGCGATACTTCTGTCAATGGCGGCCCCATTTGCAGCAAAAGTTTGCCGAGGTACATTATGGACACCCCCACCCCCTTCCCTGTTATGCCAACCCGGATGCAAATGGCGCGGATGCGCGCCTTTCCGCTGCATTTTAACCCTTTGACGACCGCCGTTATGAATGCGTCACTTCACTTCTTTCTAAATTTTTTCATCAATAATCATTAACTCTCCAACAATTTCACTATTAGTAATTAGCGCATTATTCCGCGAATTCGATATGATGTATTTGTGTAGTTTTGAAACATAAAAAATGCCAAAATAAACCCCTAAAAACGTGTCGCCACTGAGCGAAAGTGTGGCCCACCGGCGGGCCACACGGTCGTCAAAGGGTTAATCAAGTTATCGTAGGCATGGAAGCCTCTGATCTTCATGTCACGGCACTTGCTCATTTTTCGCTTATTTTTGGTCACGTGCTCACTTTTTTCATTTGCTGCTTTGGTCTACAGCTTCAAGTGAAGTCTTCAGAATTACCTAATTTGAGTTAATGGAGAGAGATGGCCTTCAATAGTACGTGTTCGGCTGGTCCCTCTCAAAACTTGAACCCAAACATTTTTCTCCAGCAGTTCATCTTCACCCAAACCTACCGAGAATTCGCACAAAAGTCAAGTAAAGGAAACTGTCCCATCTGTCCACGGGTCGTTGCGTGTTTGGTCACAATTCAGTGTTAGCTTACATACGGTGGCTGCGCTGGTGCATCGGCGTTCCCTAATCGCTCAACCAAATACGGAAGAAGCCGAACGGAGGAAGGATTGGGGCAAAAAGCATTTAGGGACACGACCAGTCTATTAGCTCAAACCTCTGCATTAGCCTGATCGCTGGCTGAGGTCAGACTTGATAAACATCTTTCATTCTTGCGAAAGGAGTGTTGTCCATTACTTCAGTGTGTGAATACATCGGGTTAATTTCCCGCTATAATCTGATTAAAGTTCGTACCAGAACACTACTTTCATATCTATTAACTAAACACCTAACCTAGGAACTGTCGATGGAAAAAATCTAGGGATGTTACACGATTGACTGATTTACCCTTGAAGACATTAGGTACTCTTGAAAAAGCCTTAGAAGCTGGCCTGATCCAGCTTACTGGGCTTTACTTAAATTTTACCACAGTGAACGCGCTGGTAAAAACAATGAAATCTATTGCTGAACACTTAAAAGCAATATTCAAACTCGAAAAGTTGAGAAAAAACGTAATTTCAGAGATTTTATTGCGTCTGAGACGATATGACCCGCAGAGCAGCATAAGCAATTCGAGGCTCTTGATCCAATTGGGATAACCTACGGCAGCCCAAATAAGTCCAAGTTCATAACTCAGGGACTATGTTCGTCAGGGCCCTTCTTTAACTATAGAGGGCTGCAGAGTTCTAATCAGTTGTTTCCTACAAAATACAGGGTGGCTAAAAAAAAGACTCCACATTTCAGACAGCATTAATCGCACTTTGCTAGAATCAAATCGACTGACCCTAAACTTAGTATTAAAGAGCACATTCTAATCTATCTAAACCGTTACATGACAGCCTTCTACACCGACGACATCAGAAGATTTTCCCACGGAAACATGGTTCGCATACGAGCTCAACGAGGTCGTCGAGGTACCATAGACCATTACGACGTCCCTGAAACGCTGGTCAAAAGCGGTTTTGCATAGTCACAGCTAATGTCTCTAGGAAGCTATTCAACAGTTAATCCATTGCAGAAATTATGAAGCAGCTTCAGGCCGGAGCGATTACCATAAGCCTCGTTGAGCTCGACGGTGGTGGCAGATGACGTCATATTGTAAAGACGGCGGGGACAGTGAAGGAGAGCCTGCTTCTGCTTACG